GATCACGTGTAGCTTGACTTCAATACTTCCGGCTTATCGAGATTCTGGGGCAGAGAGCCACCTTATATGAAACATGCAACTGCGATGCTTGCAGTGCCAATTCCATGTCGTTGGAATTTTGGAATATGAGAGACAAAACTAATTTGGTAATGCTTTCGCAAGTCTGAAGAGCGCCTCATTGCTTAGCAGTGTCAGGCTATCTTCGGCGTCCGGCTCCTGAGTTTCCAATGTCTTCCTTCTCCTGATACTTCCCCCCTTATTCGGGAGTACAATTCAAATCTCATCTTTGCAATCGTAGGTGATATGAAGGGTTACCATCACGTAATCTATTCACCTTACCTTTTCGGGTTCTTGCTCTCTTTGAGACGTCATAGGGGTGAGGAGGCGTTCGGAGATGGCACATATGTCCATTCCAGCCAATCGATCCTGGAACATGTGCGCATCCATCACCATATACGAAAGTGAATTCCGTGATTCGAGATTTGCAAATTCGCATCGGGGAGTTTGACAGACCCCTGCTTTTCCACCAACGGAAGAAAGATATCTTCATCTTTGTCAGGGTATATAGTGTTGTTGGGTTGGGTATCCCCTTCACCCTTGACCGGAACAGCGCATAGAGATTTTGATTGGAAGAGCTGAGCCTTGCAAAATTCTATATTCAACTAACGTACTCCGTATCTAAGGGCCAAAACTGTAACCTTGGAAAATTCCACGGGAGAAGGAGGCAGACCGGAATATTCCCCGGGTCAAGGTCGTTGCAGAAAAGATTTGAATGGTCCCTTCAATATGTATGAGACAATCTTGGGAAGAGCCGGGTCATGGGTTTATACACATGAAATTTTGGCAGGAGGTGGTGTCTTAGCCACATGTCGCGTTGAATCTTGAAAGGGGACACTTTTCCGTCCCGAGTCGGCGTCCGGGTATGCATTAATGGTAATGGATGTTGTTCCTGTTAAGGACGGTTGCGAGATAATACATAATCATCCCCAGGGAATTTTAGTAAGCAAAGTTCTCCATATATAGGGCAATCCCAAGGATAATAAATGACGATTAACTCCCCACGAGTTTGAAACATATCCATACCCCACGGAGCAGGTTTCGTTATTTCATCTAAAGACGTGACCGGAGATCATGCAGAGAATCCGAAAATCCCCACTGAAAGAATTTTCGAGAACACAGGCATATAAGTGAGTCATGTTTAAGGGTATATTTCAAAATTGCCACTGAAGGCTCCATCTGTCAAAAGACAACACATCGCGGGCGATTCGAGGGGTGGGCTACAGTGGAGTTTCTCGGCACCTAAGTATATCTCCATGTGAACGGAGTAACATCTTTGAAAGGGACGTGTTTGATTTTTTTGTCTTTCTCCTTTATTTCCTTTTCTTTTCTCCTTTCTTTCCTTCCTTCTTTCTTTTTTTGCCTAAGTTAATTTAGTTTCCACAAGGCATTTTCATCACAGCCTTGTCTGATATTGTTGCTTTTGCAATCTGAATTCCCGTGGGACCGGAAGCCGGGTAAGTCAAGCTATGTTGGGTCAAGAGGAGCTACCGTAGACCATTTCGAATCAAGATGGCGCTTATACCTAACTGTTATGACGCCAATCAAGCTCAAGCAAACGTTGAGAGGCTGGCTGAGGACGAAAGTTGGATAACGGTTCAGATAAGGTTGGCGGGTAGGCACCCGTCATTACCTTATTTGCCAGAAAACCCACTTTTTGTCTTTTTTGGCCACTGGGTTCGTTCACTGTGTTCTTCTCAATACGGCACACGGTACAGAGGAGATGCTTTGGGACGTAGATTTATCTATCATGGTGGTAAAATCTCCAATTCTCGATAGAGCTGCTAATAGTAAATGGGTATATATGACAACAAATTAAAGAGATCCAGGAACCACAGGATAGGAAAAACAAGGAGCATAATCGGGGCAGACACATCCCAAAGTAAAAGAGCAAACACGCATATGCAAAGTGTGTAAAAGAAATTTGGTAACTCCAGTTTCCAAAGTGACAAGAGACAATTCCCAGCATACATACGGCCCTGTATTCCAGATATTCCGGAGAAATAGACATGCAACGATAAAAAATAAAGAAAATAAAATAAAATAAAAATAAAATAAAAATAAAAGAGACAAGAAATCAATCGAACGGTGCAATAAGGACGAGCAAGAAACGCCCCCGGATGTTGAAATAAATCTTTAGGTTTATTTTTACCTTTCCGAACCACCCAGTTTTGGATAAGACAGTAAGAAAGTAGAAAGGAGGGAGGGGATGGTTGGAGAAAAGACCGACAAGATATGTATAAAAATACATCGCACAAATATATATAGTATGGTATATAGTGGACCAAGGAAGGATATGAAGTGACATTGATTTATCTCCAGGAGTTGCATGTTGATATCAGGGCTGGAGAGGTGGTGATCGGCCGACACCAGCTCTGGGCCTAATATTACTTGCAGCTATTGCCATCTGCGACGAGGAAGACGTAGATGAGGCTGTCTTGTTCATGCCCTGTTTGCGAGTAAGCTTGGCATAGTGTAGACCGCAAGCATTGCAGAGAGTTCGAGCGCCGTCAGGTCCTCTGCGCCATTCAGGGGTTTCGGCACGATTGCAGCTATGACATCGGCCAGGTGGGGCAGCTTTCTACAGTTTGGAGATTAGCAAGAGCGGAACTGAGTGTAGAATGAAGATGATAGATCATGCTTAGTGGAGAAGAGGGGAAAGTGCATCGTACCCTGCGCTTCTTTTCGAGGCTAGAACCATTCATTATGTGAGTGTTATTGCCACTTGCCAAGACGGTACCATTTTTGTATTCCTCGCCGTAGATCGACATCCGCTCTTTCTCGCGGGTGTGCTCTGTTTTAAATATTTGTTGGTGACTCCGCTGCTCGTTTAGAGAGTGTTCATGGGAGATTGCGGCCGAACGGATTCTTTCGAGAATCTCTGCCGTGTGGCGATGGAGGTGGAGCAACTCGTCGATTTCAGCTAGCGAGGGTACCAAGCTAGCTGCATCGATTGACTCTGCCCTAGCTGACTGGGGACGTTGAGAATATGGTCGAAGTATATCTAGCGTCCGGGAACTCGTGTCTCGGACCTGTATATTAAAGTTAGCCGTTTTTTGTTCTCTCTTTCGAACGAGTCAACTAGCAACATGACGGAATGGGAAATTAAATACCTCGTTTAGAGATGCGCGAACGTCGTAATCATCAAGGTGTCTTTTGACTTCATCACAGTATTGTCCTCCATTGTTTTTCTGCATCAACTTTACCCCCTCTATTGAGGTATGGTCGGAAGTGCCAAAGTTCCATGTCGAATGGGCAGGTCTGTTTTCGAAGGACGGTTGAGGGAAAGTTTGCGAAGTAGGGACACTGCGGTGTGATGAATAGGAGGGCGGGTTGTAGCTCACTGGCGACACATAGCTAGTTGGCGAAGAGACGGCAGTCGAGCTCGTAGATAGCATGTCAAAGCTAGGTGCATGTGAGGTACATATTGATGTTCTGTCAGCAACCGAGCTCCTTGTAGACGATTTCTCCGACCCTATGGAGTGTATAGAGCGGGTTTGTGAGTCCTGAGACCTTATCGAGCCTTCGGACTGAGATGGAGCAGAGGGGTGATGCTGTGAGTTAAGGATGGATTCCCGGAGGGATGGGGCTGAGGAGTTTGTTGACGAGAACGGGTTTGATGGCCCACTCGGCCCTTCCGCACTTGGGCCAGTCATGAGATTCGATGAAGGCGCAATGTGACCCGGTGCCTGCGAGGGGCCGCATACTGACGGCTGAGGGTGAGGGTATGGTAGAGGATTGCTCTTTCCGAGTGCCTCGTGGATAGACGGCAGCGACTTTACGCTGGGAGGGTGGGAAGAAACTGGAACATCGGCCAGCCTATGCGGACGAGTCGAAGGAGATATCTCTGCCGACGACCTGGACGATGGCGGAGGCGGTTGGTGGTGAGTGGGAGGAGAGTAGTTATATTGCGGCTGATTGCTGTGATACATGGTGGAGGACTGTCGATGGAAGAGATGAGTAGAAGACGAAGAGGCAGTGAGTCCAGTCGCCATGGGAGACTATGTAGCAGGGTGTTTGCTTGCCGCTGAAGACGGAGAAACCAGGGTTGTGGTGAGAGAAAACAAGAGCTGTTTTAATCCAGGGGTAGCAGGATATCGGTTTTGAGAGGTGCGGTTGCAGCGGGCGTCCCGTGGACCAGAAGACGAGCAAATCCGAATGGCGGTAACTGGAACAGGTACAGGTACAGGAGCAGCTCCAGACCAGAGTCTGTTTTATGTCGTCAGAGTCCGCTGTGCTCTTTCAGTGGCACGCGTGCGGTGCGTGCGAGCCCAGCTGGTCTCTCCGAGAGAGAGAGCGAGGCAGAGGGGGGGGGGATCGAGTGTATAGTATATGGCCTCTGAATGGATTCTGGATAGCGGCAAGTTTTTGTTTTTCTTCTGTTTGTTAATTTCCTTTTGGTTTTTTTTTTTTTTTTTTGTTAATTTCTTCTTCCACCCTTTTGCTTCCTTTTTGGATTGCTTCACGGCGCTAAAAGTCGACTTTAAAATATGCTCTTGAAGGTACGGGAAATAACGTAATCGGTCAACCTTATTTGGCTCAAGGGAAGACAGAGCTCATATTTTTTTGAAAGTGGTTTGCTTGGGACGAGGGTGAACTTGAAACAGTATCAGAACTACCCGGCGATACGAGGTGGTTCTGCTTGCTCACTGTTCCGTTGCTGCGAGTACCCGGGGGCTGTCACTCGCCAGTTCGAGGAGCAAGAGGGAGGAGAAATGGAGAAAAACAAAAACAAAAAAAAGCCAGCTTGTCGAGACGGCGAAAGGAAGGTTCCTTCTTCCCCAGATGAGATCGGTTGGATGGCGGGCGTACGGATCGAGACCGTATCTAGACGTACAGATGTATATGTTTATATACACACGGAGACACGGTCCAGGTGTGCTTAGATCGATCGATATACGTATATAGATGTGTATATGTGACAGTATATCAGAGAGACTTCCCCGTATAAGCTTTGACGGGCTGTTGCAGGTTCACGGCCAAAGCGTAGCACGGTAGCCAAAAATTGGGCCGGCGGGCTGGATCTTGGCCAGATCGAAAGGGGAGACGCCAGCGGAGAGGGCCAATCCAGCAGCCAGGTGGATGAATGAGGAGGAGAGTCGAGACGAGGGCGTACAAAGATCGTTCTCCCTTTTTAATGTACGGACGGATCTCTCTTTCGCGTGCAATGGTTGGATGCGGGCGGGCTGGGTTCAGATCAGATCGGATATCAGATTCACAGCGCACGCAAAAGAACCATGCTTTTTTTTCCTTCTCTTCCCTTTTTTGACTGTGGTCTTGGTTTCTTTTTCGTCCCTTTTTGCTTCTTTTCGTCAACGCTGGCTTGCTTGCTTGCTGGCTCTGCTCTATCTGGGGCTTCCTCGCCAGAGTCGAGTCTTCTAGGATGGGATGGCTCCTTTGCTCTCTCTGTCGTCTGCTGCCTTGCGTCCGTCTTTCAACCAATACAAGACAAAACCGCTGCTGCTTTGTTTCTTTTTGAACCTGCTGTTGGTCGGGCTTCGGGATTTGCTGGCAGAGGTCGTTTCTTTTCTTTTTCTCCCTCGTTGTCGTCTTCTTCTGCTGTCCTCTGCTTCGTCTTCCCACAGCAGTTCCTATGTCTATGGCGGATGGATACACGTGAAGGGGGCCTGCAGGAAAGGCAGACTCGAGGTAGACAATCAGGGAATTCTTCTAGGAGGGCTGTAGTGATGACTTGGAGCAGCGCTGAGGCGGATTGAAGTAGAAATACGAGGGAGCAGAGGCAGAGAGGAAAAAGACCGGAGATGAAGTCGAAGGAGGTCGAGGTTTATGAAGTTGACGTCGACGTCCACGGCCGCTTAGTCAAAAATAGTAATAACAACGACAACACCGGCCGCCAGCAGCACCGCCAGCAACAACCACCAGCAGCCAGCTTATCGATGGGCCGGATATTACACACCGTTTCGTGCTTGCTTACTCCTTGCAGTACGGGGTCCCTTATTTTTGCAGTTCTTCTTCTGCTGCTCCTTTTTCTTATTTCTCTCTGGACTGTTGACATCCCTGACCCTTTTGTCTTTGGCACATGTGTACTTATAATGCGGGTCTTGATATACGTCTGGGATGTTTCTTTTTTTTTTTTTTTTTTTTTTTTTTTTTTTTTTTTTTTTCTTAAAAAAAGAGCTGACTTGACTCTCTGTGGAGTGGTACCAGGCGTTTTGAGATCAATCAGAGACACGTTTTTCTCACTTAATCTTTCTTTTTCTTTCTCGTTTTAATTTTTTTTTTTTTATTATCATAATTATTATCGCTATTATCTCTTCATTTTTTTGTGGAAGCAGATCCAGGGCTCACAGGGCCTAGCGTCGGGGATTTACGATCCTGGACCAGAGACGACGAGGACGGCGAAGCTGAATGAGAGACGGGCCTGCAGATATCATCCAGGCAAAGGTGTGAAATACAGAGATTGCAGATATACGAAGATCACACATGACGATGGCCAGTGGCGTGGACGAGCAGATAGATCAGATCTCGCGCTCACGCTTATACTGTGGGACAAGGAAAGCTGCACAACCAGCGAGTCTCAAGAAGAGAGGAGGAGAGGACGCAGAAGATACAGAAGAAGCAAAGAGAGTATAGGAAAAAGCAAGAAAACAGATGGCGTGGTGGTTGCCCCCTGACCTGACCACCAGCCTTCTCTTGCAACGGACGGGGGGGGGAAGGCGAGAGTTCCTGGCCATGCTCTGGGACGAGCAAGGGGGAGACAGACACATGCATTCAGACAGACAGACAGGAGACAGGAGGGGGGGGGGGGGGGATAAACTGCAAGAGAGGTAACGGTGATTATTCCTGAGTTTTCTCGATACAGTGATGATGATGAAGAAGATGATGATGCAGATGGAGATGCAGATTGGAGATTGGAACATGGGGACCTGCAAAAACCTGTCAAGAGGAATTGAAAAATATAAAACAAAAACGCAAAATAAAAAGGAAGACAGATCGGGAATCCGGCCCGCGAACCATCGAGATTAGGGCTTTTTCCCCTAGCAGGGGTTGGATACGAGGAGGCAGAGGCAGAGGCCTCGAAATGCAGCATCAAACAGGGTGACCTTGCTCTCTTCAGCGGGAAGCACGATCAAAAAAGCAACAGGGCCTCTCTTTCCCTTCTCCGTACATAAAACGGTGTTTATACAGCATAATATACGCCGTCAAATACGCACTAGTTGATTTATTGTCCATGCACGATAGCAATCCGGCCAGATGGAAGGCGGATGTGGCGTGGATGTGCGGACATAGTCTCAGGAGAGATGCATACACACACAGATACATTTTCACGCACAAAGAGGAGAAATCAGATTTTGCTGTCTTTCTCCATAACTACTAAAACAACAACGGTTGAACGCCGGTTGAGCCGCTTGATCTGATAAATTCGTGCAAGCAGTTGCTCCGAGACACGGATACGACTGACTGGGTTCCGTAACTCTGGACGTGGCACCAAAATAAAAGGGGAGGAATAACGATTAATATGAGAAGGATATGGGACACGGATGTGGATTTTGGGCCGCTGATCCAGGAATCTGTCACGACAGACAGACTGGTGGTGGTGATATGTTCTGTCTCTCCTCCGTAACTTGACTTTAATGCTGGTGCATGTCCAAAACGATCAGCAAACAAGCCAGAATGACAAGCACTCGCATATACGGAGTACGACGGGTCTGAAATCTTCCAAACCCGGAATATTCTCCCCTGCTTCCCCCATCGTCATCTCCATATATCCATCCCCATCCCACCACAACTGAGCTGAACTAACTAAACTAGTGTGGAATGGAAGTGTAACAATAGGAGGTGAAGCCGAATATCTGGGTCCAAGTTGCCAGCTGCAATGCCAATAGCATATGGATCCAACAAACAACAGACAACTCGCAACACAGGAGGCAGACAAGCGCCCCTCTTTCTTCAAGGTGAGACAGATTAACTATTTTTACTAGATGGCTGCGTTGTAAAAAGTCAGCAAAAAAAACATCCTCCGCCCAAACCACACCATCTTATTGGCGAGGCGGACTGAAAATTATATCCAGGCACTTGGGATTGCTTGAACCATGGCACAACTCCCGGTCAGCTAACAAATCATGGCCTATCACTTGCCTTTTACATCGTACAAGAACCAGCATTCACAAATTATACGCGAGAGCGCATGATTCTATGACTGTATGGCACTGTCCTCATCCCTATCGGTCCCGAGAGACGTTACACTGAAGATCGATACGTTGTCCTTACTCCAGCCATTGAAGGCAAATTAGAAGGGACGAGACACAAGCGAGATCCAATATTGCTGTTGTCGCATATACACAGCTCATTTACTTCTTCCATGTGTTCGGACTGTCAGGTTTGTTGTTTAATGAAAAGAACTACTCTATATATAACAGGGTTTTTGACTGTTAATCTTATGGAGATGCTCGGGATCAGTTACTTACATAAAATTATATACACTAAGGCTGAGGGCTAACTTTGCTGTCTTAGATCGGAACATACGATCGATCGGGCTTACAGAAGAGTCCACCATTCCCCGAGCATTATTTCTTCTCCATACCGCTAAGCCTGATCAACGGGCCGCCTCACCAATTTGGCAGGTGAGCAGGGGAAAATCTCTACATCTGATGGGCTCGTCTAGCGGCTTTCTCTGCCTTCTTCAAGGATATTTAAAATCCGTTGCTACTATACTTCTATCCACCTCGGATCGGAAGAATGAGGCCATCGATAGGACACGGGAACGAGAACCAGCGGGCTCAGGTTCCAGAAGTAATGTAACCATCTTACACCTCTAGCCTGCTTTTGAGGCCACTTTCCTTTTTCGCTCTGGTTGTCCCGTTCCTCTTCGAAAACTCTACGATACTTTTCGTACTTTTACTGCTGGTCCCAGGATGCAACAGGCTGCAGATTGTCAACGGCTGGAGTCGCCAAGGTCTTCTAGGGATCTTTCCCGCCTCCCCAATCCATGATCCCATCCCCGTTTCCGCATGGGAAGGGCCAGAGAAGGGGAAAAGGAAGCCACGAAAAGAAAGGGATAACTATGCATGGGACTTTCAATGTCGTCATATACACTAAGAAACAAAGACCCCAAGTGGAGAAGAAAGGCAAGCGAAGGAGTAACTAAGAGGGCAAAAAAATGACATGTCCATCTCAACGGCCATCTTGCGCTGCCGCCGTTGCCTAACGGGCGAGGCGAGGAGGAGAAAGAGCCGAAAAAGAAAACAGGACGCAGAGCTTGACTTCTCTCGTTTTAATGGCTGGGATTTTCACTTAATCTGCCCTCCCTATTTCTGCTTCGTCAAAAAAGACAGCGATATCCGACATTCTATTGGCGGAATACACTGTTTCCGAGGGATGACCTGGCTATATAATATGTCAGCACATATATATACTGATACTTAATATCACCAGCTCGATTATTACATACGACGAGAGGAGCTTTCAATCAACAAAATAAACCCTGAAGGAACCCTGTCAATAGCCGAATGATCCTCAAGCATCGTCTAATGGGTTTCCATCCTTAAAACAGGTCTGCCAGATACACTTACGTTATGCGTTCAACCCAGCCACAGGTGCTGAAATCTTTTACAACCAAACTACAAAAAACAAGGCTCTATACGATCAAGAGGAACAAAATCTCTTGTCCTCCTTTTCTCCCACATGCTTCCAACATGATCTCTCTATCCCTGCTTGGTGTGATGGAACAAAATATTTCATGCAAGATGTTAACTCTCAAGCTTTCTAGAGCTCAGCCGGTCGATGGAGGTACAATCTTTACTCGTTCACAGCCGCAACGCCTCCTTGCTTATCTGACTGCACCGAAGGTCTAGAGCCGTTCTTTTTGCTGTACACTCTGTCTACTTCTGCTCTCGCATGAAGCATACATCCCGCACATATAGCCCCAGGAAAGGCCTCCGATTCTCTACTCAACCAGCGTACTGCATATGCCCATTGCGCCTTCGCTGCTTGCCCCCCCCCCCATCTTTTATGCAACACGCCCGTTCTTTTTTATCGCCTAATACCATGATGTAACCTAGATTAGGTTGATGCAAAATCCCCATTCCCATCTTGTGTTCCTAGGATATTTTTCAAAAGAGCCCGAAACTAAGCATGGGGGAAACCACATGTACAGTGGACGGGGAAGAAAAAGAAAAAAAAGGCGAGCAAACAAGCAGGAAGAAAAGAAAAACTCCCTGAATAGGGGGCGCCAATTGCGCAAGCAGGGGACGGGGAAAGGACGTTGCAGAACCGTTCCCAGCCCAATCACCTCAGCAGACGCTTGGAGGCCGCTGATATAAAAAGACATTACTACAGTCGGGATTTGTAGGAACGAGCTACGGAGTACTCTACTCCCCATCTTTACCGTCCTTCTTTTCTTCTGAGCTGCCTCCTATCGCTCCCTCGTTCTCGTTCTCCCAATTTCATGGCGGGAGGAAAAGGGGCAGAAGTCCGGTTTCTGGGGGCAGTGCATCGTCATTTAACACCCCTCCCCCCTGGCACACTAAGCGCAAAAAAGTAGGGAATATATTGGCATATTCCTGTGCTATAATATCATACCATCCTGCTTGACTCCTGGCTCTCCTCGGTAACACCATCCGATGATCGGGATTTGCATTCCAATCCCTGCGAATCGTATCTCATCTAAATCTTCATAACGAAAACGAAACCTTTCCGCTCACAAAACTGTAAAAAACAGAGATCTCACACTCACTTTCGGTCTGTCTGCCTGTCTGCCTGTCCGGTCTTTTACGCAGATTAGTATGGATTATCGTTAGCTAAGACTTATGGTTAACAGGTTTGATATAGAACCTTACCCCGTTAAGGTCTAAAAGGAGAAAAATCTCCGAAGCGTTCCCTTCCTTCCATTATCTTTCTTTCTTTTTTTTTTTTTTACTTTCTTCTTCCCTGATTTCACCGTTTTTACGAACGTCGAGGGGCCCTTTGCTCTGCTCGAGTTTCCCCTTTCAGCTTGGCTCCCCGGTCCGTTGTGCTGGGAGATATCCGTATATACCGTCCGTCTTATAGATGGGATATCGACAAATCGGCATCTAGCACAGGGGCAAAGGATGCAAACCCATATCATATCACTAAGGTGACGAAGACAAGACAACTAGTAGAGTCCCCGTTCCATGGTATCGAACGATCGATGAGTATCACAAGGCTACTCCGTATGGAGCGGTAATAATGTACATGTACTCCGTACTTACACAGACTTAGATAGTTAACCCTAATATAGTCTAACTAGTTGGCCGGCGCAAACGCCCAGGCGTGACTCTTCGCTCCGCTTCAACCTTCCGGCCGGACTTTCGGACCTCGATAATCTATAGATAATGCATACATATATGTGAGGAGACAAGGTGGCCCGGCCGTTTCATGGCTTGACGATCCTCTTGGGGCATCCAGTGGAGGAGATGGGGAGATTTAGGCTACGGTTGCCCCTGACTAGGTGGAACTGCAAGGGTTGGATTGACGCGATAAAAAGGGCAGAAGGACAAAAGAAAACATGGTCGGTTTGGAAAGCCCGATGTCTGCATTGGGGAACACGCATACTTTTTATCTGATAGACAGCCATGCTCCAATCAACCCCATAATCCCTTAAGCCAAATCCGTAATTCCAGAGTACATTGACCACATTGTATCATATCACATTCGTGAGGAGAGGAGGGAAGAAGAAAAGAAAGAAAAGGAAAAAAGAACCAACGAGGAGGTTTAATGGCTTGAAGTACGGTGTATACAAGGGTGGTTGGGGACTTTGGACAAAATAAATATAAAAAAAGGAGAGAGGGAAAAAGCAATTCCTTCAGCCTGTCAATGTCAAGACTGAATTTATCTGAATTTCCCTTCATGAGAGGATTCGAGATCGGCGGCACTGGAAACGCTCTGGACGTCTGCCGCGGTTGGACCGTTATCAACTTCCACCGGATCGTCGTCGAGGTTCTCCTTAGTGTTCACTGGTTGGTCAACCTTTTCCCAATCATCGTCATCTTCGAGGTCTCGAGCAGTGATGGTGCTATTATCTTGGGCCAGCTTTGCCTTTTTAGCCGTGGAGCCACTACCCTGAGTCACTGGTTCAGATGTTGGCGCATCAGGAAGACTGGCGGCGAGGATCTCGGGGGTATGTGGAACGCCAGCTCCAGTTTCTGTTTCTTCTGCCTTAGTGGTCGTGGAAGGCGGAAGATCCTGTTCAGTGGGAGGGAAATATTGACTATAGCATCAAAATTCAGTAACTCGTTAGCTGGATTGTTTTCTTTTTCGATTCCTTCTTTTAAATTATTTTTTTTGCTATCCCTCCCGGTTCAAATACCCATGGTGGAGAACGGTTGGAGAACGACAGAAGGGGAAAAAAAAAAAAAAAAAAAAACGTACGGGAGGAGCATATCATATGCCCTGCAATCTTTTCTCTCAAAAGTACAGAAGATGACCCTCTCCAATGACTCGGGATGGGACTCAAGGAACTCTCTCACCACCTTGATCGCCACAGTGGCCGCCTCGACACTTGGATACCCATAAACCCCGGTACTAATCGACGAAAAGGCGATACTCTTTGCCCCATTGGCGACTGAGAGTTCCAGGCTGCGTTGGTAGCAGCCTCTCAGCAACATCTCTGGTCTTCGCACATCACCCCGACCAGGACCTCCACGAAACCTTTCCATCACGTATACGGGTCCCACGGCATGGACGACCTTTTTGCATGGCAATTCATAGGCATCCGTGATCTTGGCATCACCCGTCTGGCATCCATCAAGTGTACGACACTCTCGCAGCAGGTTTGGGCCCGCTACTCGATGGATGGCCCCGTCGACGCCTCCGCCACCGAGAAGGGATTCATTCGCGGCATTCACGATGCAGTCAACTTCGAGCCGGGTGATATCATGGGTTACATGGCTGATGATATCGTTGAGTCGTTGCGATGGCGTGGAGACCTGCGGGGTAGCCGCTGCCGTAAGATGCCTAAGACGATAGAGTAGAGACAATGTAGGGATTTCAGCCAGGGGGAGGATAGCAGACGCCATTTTCACGGTCTTTTTCTCTTGCTTGTCTGTGTTGTGGATAGGTTGACGTAGAGGTGATGGTAGCTACCTGTTAGTGCAGGCAGAACAGTTTGATATGACGTTTGTCCCACGAGGATCACCGATCACTCTGAATGTCTGCAGCCCAGGGCTGTCTCTATGAAACTTGTGGCCCTCACCATCCAAATATCTGTATGTGCGGCCGTCTCTCTTTGACTTCGTCCTCTCACTATGTCCTTTCAGGCCGTCTTCTTCCTTTGCTTGTCCCCGTCTGCGTCTGCTTCTCTTGCATCTTCGTCGAAGCTGTCGAAGCTCCTGTGGGGAAGGTAGGTTTCCACGTGACTGGACCGTTTAATAAGCGGTATTTTATTTATCCGTATTATGTAATACATATCTTAGTCAACCTGCTTAGGTCAACCTTAATTATTTTTATTTTTATCTTTTTCTCTATCTCGTACTCTATCTTACTCCGGACGGATCCATGAAGTGAGCTCGGAGATGCAGGAAAGAGATTGAAGGATACGGGAGGAAAAGGAACAGCAGAGATGCAGATGACAGAAGACAGGTCTCAGGGGAAGTTGTAGCAGGCTGTGACAGATGTACTCTGCAGAACCTCGGCTGCCGTCAGTTGCTTAGCCATGGATAAGGTGCATATCAGACCTGTAACACAGCTTGCTCGCGTCTTCCTATCACAAGCTTTCATGCTCCCTGGAACATCTACTAACAATTACACGTACGTAAGTAGTTACTTCGGATATGGCATTCCACCTGGCAGGGCAGATCTGATGGATCTCAAAAAGCAGGAAGAGAGAACGTTTTCTCACTGTGAAGAAGCTTTTATTCTCGTCTGAAACCCTGTTCGGTTGTTGATTACATGGACAACTATACTCCGCTCATAGCAAATGGTAAGTACCAACCCCCTTTTCTATCGGATAAATCGTATAATAACTCACAGAGTTCTATAGCGGAGGAAGAAGCCGACCAAAAAAATTAGTAACAATAATAAACATATAAAAAGCTTTTGAAAATGCGGACCTTCAATCACTCACCAGCTACAAAAATCGGGAAGAGCTTTCCCCCACAATAAACGGCCCACCGACTGGCTTGTGGATCGTGATGCGTGGCTGAAGTTGTTTAACACATCTTTCCCGAAAGTTAGAAACTGGCCGTTGACACTGGCACTATACTCCGTACTGGCGCTTCCTTACCCTTCATCTCCGGGAAAAGGCCACTTTTTAACAAGGATGAGGTGACAGGGCGTGAAGAGGTGGCATACTAAGTGCGCACTAAGATGCCAACAGCTCCATATTGGGTGGGGAATTAGCCTTCCCTGATAATAAAACAGGCCTACTAACACTATAGTTATATCTCGAAGCAGTTATGACCTCTCAGGCCTTCGAGCATGTTCGGCTAGACCTACTGGCAAAGCTTTCCTAGGCTCTTAGCCATCGACCGAGGCAGGCGATTCTGTTTCTCTCCTTTTCTTCTTTGGGAACACAATTCAACCAATCTTGCCTGCGGGCGCTGATATTGGATCAATTTACCCTGCACTCGTGGCGACAAGTTCAGGCTAGGCAAGACTTTCCCTAAAAAGGCAAGCTTCATTGCATACGCTTTTTTTCAGCATATCACTGGTGATATTCATCTCTTCTCCAGTTGAATTTTATTTTCCCCCATTTTCTATATTTTGTATTGGATTTTGTTTGTCTTAAACTCTGCCGGTTCTTCGATTCAACCTGCTTGGACCAGACCCCCCCTTTTTTTTTCTCACTCTTTTCTTAACCTTTTAACACATGCTTCCAGCAGTCCCGAGGAATTTGGGCATTATCTAGCTCAGCTGGTGGAGACCTTAAAAGCTCATCACCTATTGCTTCGTTAGTGGTATCCGTACGATATGGCTTCTATGATCTTTCTGGTAGGTGTTCTCGTTTCATAATTGGCGTATCGAAAGAAGAAGCTCTCCCACGAAAGAAATCCAGCTGTCGACGGTGGAGTGGCGGGTTCTCATTATTTGTGGAATGCCTATCGGTTAGGTCGCCGGCCACAGCTCAGGATTTGCAGCTAGTCTTCCCATGGAAGGTCCATATCCATGGGCAATGAATCTGTTCACGGCGATTTCCGTGGCTATCAAGACTGATATTTTTCTCATTTGCAATCAACCGAGGTCTACAAAATATCGTCCGTATGTCGATGGGGAAGCCTCTTCTCAAGCCTTGTAGTTCTCCCTGCCTTCCTGCATATTCCAGACTCGGCCATCCCGACAGTTTCTGCCGTTTGTGGTGTTGCAGTTTATTCAGATGAGATATCTAAGGCTTTTTTCTTCAACCCATACGAAATACAGAGTACATGATGTCTGAATCAATACTCAGTTTGACGTTTAGTTGCAGCGTCAGAGCCTAAAGTCTGCCCAATAACCCTTTCATCTGAGCCCGGACTCATTGGATTTCTGTCTCCCTCCCAGGCATTTCTGATCGGTTTGCCCTGCACCAGCCGTGCTCCTTCGGGCAAATTCAGCTGGGATGGCACGCCTTCACAGCCGCAGACAAGCAAGCTGAACCAATCCCTGGGGAATATGATGGATTCAATAGTCAGATGCGTCAAGGAGGCCAAATCATCCGGCCAATACCACACTGTATCCCTCAACCAAGTTGGCATTGTTCTGGTGATACACCATGCATCGCATCCTCGAAATATCCTAGGAGCCGTTGGCACAGACTCATGGGCGGTGAAGAAAGTTTTTTTACGCTTATTGACACTATCAATTTGGACTACCCAAGCGCAGAAAATACATCCTCTCGTTTATTACATATGATACATGGATGCGGCTCCCGTTTTAAAAGGCAATGGCTGTCTGTAAGACAACGAGATCGCATACATACAGACACTCCTTCACTCCCCCAGTCCCACCACAATCGCCAAGTTACACAGCGCATGATACGGTTGTTGTTACATGCATCATTCTGCTATCTCCTGGGACCATTATATTTTCTTTTTTTCGTTTGAACATGAGATTATCGATTGTGGCTCGATGCCATCCCATCTCAGGTGCATCCAAGCATATGTTGGGAGGCTGTATCGCTATAAGTAGCAACAAAAATTGGGGATCAGTGCACATTCTTTTATGATCACCCTTGTTGTCCATAAAGGCTACAAGAGGACAGGCTCCTAGTGCAATATTTGCTCGGAGCTTTCTCTTAGTGAGCGACGAGGCGTCTAGTTCCTCGATTGATCAGCTTTAAGTTGCGATCAAAATGGATACCCAGCGATAAAACATAATTGCTTGTGTGAGAGCAGAAACCTTGATTCAGTTCGACACGATTCTGGATATTGATTAGTACGCTTTCTTGAAGGCTACGGGTGACTTGCTTGCCGCGAAGTAAACTTCAGCGCTGTGCTATGTGCTATGTAGCGTATATATTTCGATACAGGCTGGGTTGTAGTGGTACATCATCCTTCAGGCTGAAGATTATTTATGTTTCCTTTCTCTGAGTCAAGGGAAAAAAAGGAAAGAAGAAAAGGCGGGGGTGCATCCCGAGGTTGGATCGGCTGGCTGATCTTCGATATGCGGAAGTCAATGGAAGAGAGAACACTTGACACAGGGAGCTGATCAGGATATTACTTTCTTTTTACGTATTCCGTCCGTACATATTGAGTCTGGTACGTGATCGAATGAGATGCCTTCATAGAGCGTTGAAGTGCGATGCAGTTAGAGCTCTGTGGAAAGAATTACATATGGCAAATAGGAATAATAGGAAATATGAAGTCCTGCCAATTTTTCGACCATGGCTCTCACACACAGATGAATGCTGAGTTACAGATTTGAACCTCCATGACTAGACGCGACCGGCCTAGGTGGGATTTAACTTTCATATTTCACAGGTAAAAGGGTGGCGGTACATAATGTGCTTGGTGATCTGTGGATAACCTCGTTTGTGTAGATAAATTAACGAGTACATGAAATGGAAAAGGCCGGGTATCTGGAGGTTAAAAGAGGACAGGTTGCTGCGAGATTCTACTTCTCTCATATGAGAATCAGTGTTGTAGAGGTACTCCGTACTACATTGAGAATTAGCGTTTAGTCCTGGAGACACCATTGATTGACGCCCATTTTGGGGGGATACATACAGGAATGCATCTTTCACTTAGTTGGTAGCCTTATCGCTCTCTTGATCAGGTAGCGGTTCTCCAAGGAGTGTAGCTAGCGCAAGTTGGGCATCACGGCAGAGTTTGGTTCTCCGAGCCCCCTTCTCCAGGAGGAATCCCGCAGTAGCGATCTTCTTGCGAGCTGTAGCCACGGCAAGAGGAGTCATATGACGGTCATCAAACTTATTTATGGGGCAACCAGCATCAAGTAGAACCTGAATAGCGTCAATATGGTCGTTGAAAGCCGCCTGATGCATGGGATAATAACCCCATTTGCCCCTAGGCCATCTCCCAGTGTGAGTGGCTGCAAGTGCTTTCAAAGCAGCTGCACTGCCAACCATAGATGCCAACTCCAAAGCGTTTCCAAAATGCATGTCTACAAAGAAGTTTCGGTCCGGCTTGGGTCCTATCATTCTGGTGATAGCACTACCCAGGTTCATCACGGCAGCCCATTCGAGGGGGGTATGAGTAACAAGCATGCTGGTCATGTGGGCGGTTTCCCATGTTGCTACTGGGGATTTATATGCGTATTGGCCTGGTTTTATACCGGCCATCTTTTTCCACAAATAAGGCTTGACCTTGAATCGATATAAAAACGGAGTGATTGCGGCGTTAAGGCGTTTGTTACAGCGGACAAGTCGACCCACGTCAGACATACCAAGTTCTGCAGCAACCATGCACAGAAGCTCAGTAGAGAGACTCATCAGAGTGGCTCCGCTAGCCGGGGGAACTTTGTTGCAAATAAGAGCCATTGATAATCCTATAAATATAGTCAGTTAAAGGATAAATGTTGACGCGTTTTTAGAAAGAGGATAAGAAAAAATAGATAATACTTACATGAAGATAATTTAACGCGAACCACTGCCTTAAATTCACCACTCTAAGGTAAGTTGAGTAGAAAAACCCGCTACACTAGAGTGCGGGGTCTAGGGCTGCAGGTATGGGTAATAACAGTTTAAGTACTTCTCTGCAGCACTATATGTGGGAGTGAATGTTGTATCTGAGTCATTAGTGCAGACAGAGGTAACAATGCAACAAAAGTGAAGAGTTTGAGGTTTTGTCCTCTCAGTAAGGCTTGTAGCTTACGTGATAACAATGTGAATAGCAGCCATTGCAATTTAGCATGACAGACTTCCATTGTTTAATAACTTATATACCATGTTCCTTCTATAGAGTAATATATAGAAGTTGTCCATAAAATTATATAGTAAGGCTCCTCTATACCTTATAATAAACATGATACATAGCTGAAGTTAGATCTTGACCGACGGACTTGAACGGTATACAATAAATAGGACATGTTATCTCCTATGTATCCATAATTCCACCAAAAGCCTCGATTAAATGTATACATGTGGTATTCTGGGTATAGATGGTATCTCACACGAACTTGCAGATGTGAGGTTGACAACTTGCAGTCAAGATTGAATTTCAAGGTTGCATCCTGATGCCAAGACCTTCTTATCTTATCTGATCTGGGCAACCTCACCTGCAGAAATTCCCAGCCCAAAATAGGTACAAACCACGATCAAAGAGCATGAGATATAGCAACAGGCCTCCAGAACAGGGGTTTTTCCTCTACTCATGTTATCACTATTGAATGGATTCTTTATACCATCGGCCTCTCGCCTTTCCCGATTGATCCTGAAGAAACCAAACCCTGGTATTATCCACCGATTGTCGCACCCAAACGCAGCTCCTTCCAGGTTAAAATCGCATATATCCAAGCTCAATTCGGTACACAAACGATGTTCAACAGCTGCATCTAGCAGTAATGATTCCAAAACTCAGCACCATGGCAATAATATTACGAATAACATGGATGGACCGCGGGGTCGCTCACGATATTCGTTTGGCAGAAATGCTGCACTCGACACATTTTTATTCACAATCCAGGGGTTAGCTCTCTTCATAGTTTTCCGCGAACATGTTTTGGATGTCAAATGGATCAGCGGTGCATCTATGTCACCATATTTAAATAAGGGCTACAATATCGACAATATCGATAGCGAGATGGTGCTCGTGGACGTCACATATGCCACAAAGCTGCATTTAAGAAGAGGAATGGTGGTGGTATTCCCGTTAGTATCCTCCCAATTATTTGTATTCCAACTATTTGATGCTAATCGATCGATATTACATTTAGATCGTTGCGCGGATCTAGTTCTAGGACCGAACCAAGCAAATTGTCTGTGAAACGTATCATAGCCCTACCGGGCGATGTTGTCACCACACGACCGCCGAAGTCTGGAGAGGGAGACCAAAAAACCCAGATTGTTCCCTGGAATCATGTTTGGGTCGAAGGTGACGCAACTGATCCCGACTTGTCTTTTGACAGCAATACCTACGGCCCTATATCTATGGGTTTGATAAAGGGGCAGGTTATGTGCGTCTTACGCCCTAAATGGAGGACTTTGAAGTGGTGGGAGTGGGAGAATGAAAATGATCTTGTGGAGAGTGGTGGAGATTATGGAAAGAGCCAAAGGATGAGGGTCAAGAAAGATGCAGTTACTGTTTACGACCCTAACATGACCTAGTCATGTTACGTACGTGTCTGTAGGTTAAGACCGGATTCCAAAAAAGACAGTGAACTGGGCACATCTAGATAGGCTAAACATGATCATACATCTTATGAAGCCGGTAACGATGATCGACTTGTACCCGTTAATCTCCTGATACCGGTGCGGCGCGATGGAAGTTAAAATACTGACTGGGTAACCGAGATGTAACCGAGATGTGCATAATATCCTAGTCTATCAATCTATTTTACTTTTTTTTTTTTTACTCATAGCCCACCATTTTGTCTTGTGGAATTGATTGAATCCAGATATTTATGTATGTAATCTTCACCAACCAACGGGGCTGGGTATACATCCAACCCGAAGACGTGCTTGCCAACAGGGCTTCCCTTGAGTAAATCTCCGGCGGTCTCGTCTGTATAGCCATCAAGAACAGTGGTGATACGGGCTAAGGGGCTCTTCGGGTTAAGGGCTGCATACTCAAGGGCACGACGATGCCACTGACTGAAAGGGAGTACTTCCAGATTACCACTGGCAGCACCCATAATCCCGAAGAAGGTGTCAAAAGTGGGCGCGCGCGGATTCACAAAGTCGTAATCTTCACCAATGCGTCCCTGGTCCTCAGTCATAATCATGGCAATAGTGCTGCATAGATAATCGACCGGGAGAACGCTGGACAACGTGGTATTTAAGGATGGAAAAGCTCCCAAGTCAAGGCTCCCCATAACAAGATTATTCAAAAAGTCGCCACGATCAAGACGGAAGCGGCCATTAGTACCTGAAGCAGCGACAAATGGCAGGCGATAAGAAGAAGCTACCGCTCCGCGGAAACGAGCGGCCACAATCATTCTCTCAGCAAGATATTTTGAAGTACCATAACCATATTCTCCATCAAGTTCAGTAAGACCATAACCTAAGTGAATAGGCAGTGTGGAAATTGTTGAGACAAAATGGACCGCTTTCCCACGTCCATGAGAAGCAAGACGCAAAATTTCGTGCGTACCCAGAATATTGGGACCAATATAGTCTTCCAAAGGACGCATCCAATCCACAAGAGCTCCTGAATGAATTATTGCATCGACTACATCAGCTAGCTCATCAAACATATCCTCGTGAAGGCCAAGGAGTGGTTGAGAGAGATCGCCAATGATAGAGTGAATCAACGATGCATACTCCGGTTTCCAAAGACCATATTCCCGTAGTGTTTGCGTCATGCGTTCTTGAGCTTGATCTAGGTTACTAGAGCGTATAAGACAGTATACAGCTATGCCTCTTTTGAGAAGTTCGTGAACCATGAACGCACCAACAAACCCTGTTGGTCCTGTCACAAACACAGCTTTCGGAGTATTTAAACAGGAAAGAGGATATTTTGTTATGTTTTCAAATTGGAAGCTTCGGTCTAGCACACCCCTTTTAATAGCTGCCATATCGACATGAGGAACAGATTTTGGTGCCGAGCCGTTGGCCTTCATCCCACCATTTGACTTGGCCTCGGCGTTGGATTTGGATATGCCATTAGTATGTGACACACCGTTGGAACCTGGTGTGCCATTGGTGCCATGGGTGCCATTAGTGCTGGTGCCATTAGTACTGGTGCCATTAGTACTGGTCCCATTAGTACTGGTCCCATTAGTGGTATTAGTCTTTGGAGTGCCATTAGATCTGGAGACGCCTTTGGCCTTTGGCGAGAATGTTGAGCCGATGTCAGTACTGTCTTGCAAAAGGGATAGGATAAATTCGCTAAGTGACTTGAGATTTGGGCGAAGAAGTGCCACGTTCGGTGGTAACGTCATGCCGGTCAGAGTTGCTAGATGATTGCGGACCAAAATAGCGGTTAAGGAATCAATTCCTAGTTCCTTTAGGGGCTGACTGGGGTCTATTTCATCCATCTGAGCATATCCCAGTGCTTTACCTATGGCTTTTCGAACAATGTGGAGCACAATCCTTCCGTGTTGCGCAGGAGCAGCATTTGATAACAAGTCGCGTAGACTCATGTCGGTATTAACCGCCAATTTGTCATTCTGTTCCCCCAATATTGAACGTAGGAGCGGGGGTATACCGCCTTGTTCTCCATAATAAGATTTAAGCCGTTCCAAGTCCAGAACAGCGGCTATGGTGAGTGGTTTTCCACATTGAACTCCTTGCTCAAACAGTTTTAGCCCGTCTTCTGGTTCTAGATAGCCTAGCCCAAGCTGCGAGAGATGGTTACGAGTTGTTGATACGAGAGTAGTTGCCATGCCATCTCCACCCCAGACACCATATGCTACTGAGGTAGCAGGCAAGCCCTGGGAACGTCGCAGGTAAGAGAGGGTATCAATAAAAGAATTAGCAGCAGCGTAGTTTCCAAGGCCGGGTAAGCCCATGATACCAGAGATAGATGAGAACATCATGAAGATATCCAGGTCCATGTCCTTTGTTAGTTGATGTAGGTTCCAGAGGCCATCTACTTTGGGTGCAAATGTTGTGGCGCATTTTTCGGGAGTTAAGGATGATAAAACGCCTGAGTCAACCACCCCAGCTGCGTGAATCACGCCTCGTAGAGGTCTATCGGCAGTAAACTTCTGCATAACTAGTTTAAGACTGTCGAGTTCCGAAACATCACAGCGAACTATGGTAACGTTGGCACCCAATTTGCTAAGCTCAACAATAAATGCGTCGGCTCTAGCAGATACCTTACCAGTCCGAGACAACAGGACTAAATCACGGACTCCATGGCAACTGACCAGCCGGTGGGATACGCGCTTTCCAAGATCACCAAGCCCTCCAGTGACTAGCACTGCGCCATCTGTTCGGAGTAGTGGCTTTCCAGCAGGTGCTGAGGCCAAGTTAGTGCGTTCCAGATGTGGTACAAGTAACTGTCCCTTGCGAATAGAGATTTCTGTCTGACTATCCGCTGCCAGCGCCGTTCCAAGGGCAGCCAGGCTGGTCTCGTCATCCACGTCGACTAGTCTAAGATGCAGTTCGGGGTGCTCGCTTCTCGTGGTCCGCATCAGGCCCCACAGCGGCCCGGCCCCGAGACCAACTGGCTGGTCTCCAACGCCCGCACCGACCGCACGCCGAGTAACCCACACAATTGGCGCGGCAAAACCAATATTGCTTGCTTCCTGCAGATGAGCCAGGGCTGCTGTCGAGAAGGCGTGCGCTTTCTGAACGACATCGGCATCAGAGTCCCAGAAAACTAGAACGCCATCGAGCTGCATGGCATCCTGGAGCTTAGCAATTTGAACCAGCTGAACTCCGGAGCTTTCCAAGGCTTGATGCGCGGCTATCACCCATGTAGTTGCATTAGATAAATTGAAAAGACCCCAGATGCCGCGAGGCAAGGTTTCGTCCACGGAGAGTTGGCGCCAGTTTATTTCAAACATTTTATTTTCCACTCCGCTTACGACCGTTCGAGAGTCATTTCTCTGTGTGAGACCATTGAGCCAGCTGGCTTTTGTTGTAGGCTGGTAAGATACGCGCTGGAAAGCGTAAGTAGGCAGGCTAACTCTTTCACAGTCAAAAGGCTTAAAATATTCAGCCCAGTTGATGGGTACATGTCGCATGTGTAACTCGTGTGCGCTATTTTGGACGACTGAGACTTCATCTGCTCTTGGCTTTAGGGAGGGCAGCCACAGAGCCTTGCTCATTTGAGAAATATCAGAAACACAGGCTGCACCCAGTCCACAAAGGGTCGAGCTAGGTCCAATCTCCAGGAAGACATTAGCTCCTTGTTTAATAAGTTCCTGGAAAGCATCACTAAATCTAACAGCCCGGCGGGCCTGTTGGACCCAGTATTCCGCACATTGAGGTTCACCAGCTGCAGCTAGTGAACCGGTCATGCTGCTGATTATGGGTATCTTTGCCGTCTCAAATTGGAGATCCTGAGTCACAGCTCTGAAGGCATCCATCATGCCATTCATATGGGCCGAGTGGAAAGCATGGCTAGTATCGAGCAGTTTTGTCTTACGGCCCATCCTAGCAATATGGGCTGTTACAGCCTCAACCGCCTCAGAATTCCCAGATATAACAGTTTGTGAAGGTGTATTATAACCTGCTATTTCAACCTCCTCTCTCTTGCTCAGTTCGTTCACCACTTCTTCAACCTCGATGCTGCTGGCTTCTACTGAGGCCATCTTCCCTTGACTGGGAAGGCTTTGCATCAAAGATCCGCGCATTGCCACCAGCCGACAAGCATCAGACAAGTTCAAAATACCTGAAACATGAGCTGCTGCAATCTCTCCCACACTGTGACCAAGTAGAAAGTCAGGCTGTACGCCCCAGCTCTGCCACAAATTCCAAAGAGAAACCTCAAGAGCGAATAATGCGGCTTGAGTGTAGTCGGTTCTGTTGAGTAATGAGGCATGTGTGCTTTCCGGTTCGGCCCACATTACATTAAGAAGAGGGATATCCAGTTGCGTGAACAGGGCTGCAATGTTATCTATCGATGTTTGGAAAACAGGGTAGACGGAATAGAGCTCTTTGCCCATCCCGAGTCGCTGGCTACCTTGTCCGGTGAAAAGCATACCAATCTTTGGCTTCCCGACCTCATTCACATTGAAAAGTTTGTCAGAGCTCGAGCTTACAGATGCCAGAGCATCCAGCATCTGTGCCTTATCTCTTGAAACTACTACCTGTCTGCGTTGGAGGTGGGTACGAGTAGTAGCCAGTGAGAAGGCAATGTCAATTAGGCGGTCATCTTTTCCAATGCCACTCTCGATATGTAACCGAAGTTTCTCAGCCTGAGCTTTAAGGGCTGATTCACTGCCCCCAGAGAGCAGGAACGGAATAGCGCTAGGTACTAAAGTGGGCAAAGTGCAACCATTTTTTCTGGCGAGAAGCTTAGGAGGCTCTTCCACGACGATGTGGGCGTTGGTGCCGCCAATTCCAAATGCACTTATACCAGCCCGGCGTAGTCTGTGATCCCTAGGTGGCCATGGTTGAGGGGCAAGCACCAACTCCATGTTGGCCCCTTTCCAGTCAACTGACCTGGTAGGTTCGTTTACATGTAGGGTTTTGGGTATGATATTATATCGCAT